CTATTGATACTTGTTTTTCAGTTTCTAAAGATGATATAGACTATATGTGCGGATTTTGTATAAATTTTAATACTGGCTTCAGTTGGATGGTGAAGATAATTGAAAATTATGTAATTTAGAAAGGGCCCTCTTTTCCTTAAGAAACTTTTTTAAATTAATAATTTATTAGTTCATCAATTATTTATTAAATCTCTAAATCAATAAATTTTGTTGGTCCCAAATCTACTAATTTAAAGAAGTTTTATTATAGTTGCATCCAAAATTATACTTCAATAGATTCACACAAATACCATGGGAGAACGGGTAATTCGATCTTTTCCGATGTGTTACTTCTGGTAAAAATACTTCAAGAAGTGGGACAATCTTTTCTTTTTTTAACAATTTTCTTTTGGGCAACTACATTGCTACCATCAATAACTAACCCATCACTGGCAAGAATCGTATCATGGTGAAGAAACCCATTCTCCACATCCTCCATATATAGGATTCGGACAAACTTATAATCATCCCTTTTAGATACGTAACCAAACCCAAGATCTAAAAGCCCAAAATCATTAAATTCGAATTTCTCCAAACCAATAGTTGATGTTGTAATACTCAAGGATCTTGTAATTAATGGGTTCCATAAATGGATATGGCCCCACAACTGTTGGTATCGATTATAAACACTAATTCCGTAGAAGCCAAAATTATCTGAAAGCAATCACTATCAATGACATCTGTGATTCTGTTCATGGTTTAAACATTTGTAGAATTTTCATAAGAAATTAAATAGAAAGGTTTTTGAGGTTCACCGGACATTAAATTAGGATGAAATTACAGAAATTAATTATCTTCTTTCAGTGCTGCTACAAAATGGTGCTCGATGAATTCGCTTGAAGCTATCACATAATAAAATTTCTCGGATACACAAATCATGCACATCAAAACACCGATTCGCAAGACCATCAAAATTGCCACAATGATCTCGAGCGGAAGATCCAGTAACAAGCTGAACTCCATTGTTGCGCTATTGGAAGTAATTATCGATAGTAATTATATAATAGCAAAATAATTTAAATTCATACTTTTTCCTAAATAAATCTACTCGTAATGGAAATTTCAGTGAATTATAAATGAAAGAAATGTAAGGATATATAATATTTTATGCAATAACTCTTCTTTAGAAATATTTTTGGTTAGATTTTTGCTAAAAATTAGCATATATTTTACACACATTAAAGGGTTTCTTTTTACTCTTTAAAAACTCTAATGAATTTATGTGCTAAATATTAGCATATGTTTTTTTGGTAAAATTGTATAAGAATATTTTTCTTCGTGCATGTTGGATTAAAAAGAGATTAATGTTACTATATTTTCAAATAATTATGAAAACTATATTAACAGCAAGATCGGGCACACTTTGCGCCTACTTTTGTGTAGCGTGATTATTCAATGATTAAAATATGAATATGGTCCTTTACATTATGACAAATGCACATTTCGGTCATCTACATTAACATTTGGCTAAAATGATGCTTTATCTTTTTATTTGTGATGGTCTTGCGGTACTATTCAAGGCGTTTGACCATTCAAGTCAACAAGGGTATTTTTGGAATAAAAATATTTATTTTTCAAAAAATTAGTATTAAATAAAATAATATTAAATTAATAAAAAAAATTAAACTACAAAAACAACTAAATAATATATAATTAATAAAAAATTATTTAGAAAAATTAAATTTTAATTTTTTAAACTTTTAACTGCTTTTTTTTAAACCCAAGTCCATCAATGTGGAATTTTCATCCTATATAATATCTATCCCAATAAAACCCTAGGCGTTCATTTTAACCATCCAAATTGGGATCTCACTATATTAACAAAACAATTCATAATAACAAAATTAATAAAAAGTTATTTTAAAAAATAAAAAAATTTATATATTTTATTTAAAAAGACTAATATAAGAAACTGTAAACAATTTCATAATTTAGTCTTTTTGTATAATATTAAAAACAATTTCTATGAAGTATCTAGGGGTTCCTCTATCTCCTCAAAAATAGAATGCACTTAACTGTGAATTATTAGTCTAGAAGATAATACTGAGCCTACAAAATTCTTAACATCGATGGGGAAAAAAGGGATACCACAAGGTAACATTCTTAGCCAGCACAAATTTGCCAATTCTAATGAAAAACACAATAGGCATCCTCAGTAAAATTTGGAACAAAATTCTCACCAATGGAATCAACATATCCTCAATAAAATTAGAGTTTCATGCAGTTTCCTCAATAGAAATGGGATATCGAGGATGCCACAATCTTCTACAGTGATGGAGCTAAGAAAAGATGAAAAACATTAGGGTGGCTTTTCAGATTTCTCTCAACTTCCCATAAAATCTTATATACAAATAATAAGTGAACGAGGAGCATAATAATAAATCCATTATACATGGATGAAAGATATAGGAGAAGAGAAGTGTTTGAAAAACGAAAAAGAGAGTTAAGAAGGATTCCTAAGAGATTCAACGGAGGAAGAGAAAGCGGACTGAGGGAATTGAAGGTTTTGGCCACAAATTATAGTAGGTCATAGGTTTGGTTGAGTACTACCAGGTTTTACACGTGACAAGTGACTAAACTCACTATATATAAATATATATATATATATATTATGGATTCTTACAGAAATTAATAATGCTAACTATAGTATTAAAGCCTAATCGGGTGAAGTCAAATGTATATTGTGGTAGTGTAGATGATAACGTAAAAGCTGAAATTAAGCAGGTTATGGGTTTTAGTTGTGGGGGATTTCCCTATCAGATACCTTGGGGTGGCTATTTCACCTAATCGATGGACTGGCCTAGACTGTCATGTTTTAGAAGAAAAAATAACATCTAGGATCAAGTGTTGGACTACAAGACACTTGTCCTATGCTGGAAGGATTGTATTAGTTAATGCAGTGTTGTTGACAGTCCATACATATTGGGCTTCCACCTTTATGTTAACAGAGAATACTATTGTGCAAGTGACAAGAATATGTTGGGAATTCTTATGGGGGAAAAAGGAGAATCGGAGAGCATACTCTTTAGTTGCCTGGGATGACATTTGTAGACCTAAGAAATTTGGTGGCCTTAATATCAAAGAGCCAGAAATATGGAACCAAGCTGCCTTAGGTAAACAAATATGGGACTTAGCAGAGAAAAAGGACAACCTGTGGGTGAAATGGTGTCATGAGGTTTACTTAAAAGATCAAAATGTTTGGGATCATCAACCTGTGAAGGGGGCAAGTTGGCACTGGAAGACACTAATAAAAGTTAAAGACAGACTTAAAGATGGTTTTCAAAATGGTGTTTGGAAGGCTGAGCAGAATGGAATATATACTACACAGTCTGGTTATAAATGGCTAAGGGGAAGTGGCCAGGAAATGGCATGGCCAACCAGGTTATTACAAATTTGGAAACAAAGCAAGTATAAACAGAGAGTGATGTTTGGTGTTTTGGCTGCAACTTTATATCATATATGGGGATTGAGAAATCAGATTCTACATCGTGGAAAGAAAATTGATGAAGAAGTTACATTTGAGAAGATCAAACAGGAGACCAAATGGAGAGTCATGGAATGTTGTAAAAAATATAGACCAGGAGAAAAAATGTTTTTAGAGCAAATTGGATTTTTGATAGTTGAAACAGGTTGTAATAGAAACTGATATGTTGTACATGTTTTGGATTGACTGCTAATGAAATTTACCTTTCACCCAAAAAAAAAGAAATTAATAATATGGGTCATTCATAGATAATTAATTACACCACGGAGTTAAGGCATCGTCCAAGAATAACAAAAATACCACATAAATTTTAGGTTAAAATTTACTATTCACCAGTTTATAATTTTTCTTAACATTTCAAGAAAGAAGGTTCTGGTGATAACACGTGTCAAAATTGGTTTAGGCAATGTATATGTTACTTCAAAGTTAGAAGTGAAGATTCTCAAAATTCTTAAATAAATGTGACTACAAGATACAGTTCAACAATTACGAATTGAATACTATCAACAAAATTTATTTATTACATGTTCAAACACAACTATCCCATAATTTTGTATGTTATACTCCTAACGATAATATAAGTCTCGAACGGTTGCATCCAAAATTTAAACCCAAACAGATTAAGTATATATAGACATGAGATAAGGTGCATCAACCTGGCAGCATTAGCCGATCTGGTACATCAATATAGGGCCGGCAATCTCTGACACGACTCGGAATTTCGACACGAACCCGACACGAAATGACCTGACACGAACACGACACGCATATTAACTAGGTCTGGTTAGGGTTGAAAATTTGGACCCGTTTAATATACGGGTCGGGTTAGGGTCAACCCGGCGGGTTACCTGGGTTACCCGCGAACATGTAAATTATGTGTATTATAGGGGTACTTTGGGAATTTCGCAGCCATCCCCAACCCTAATGTCAGCTCATATATATACTCTTATTCTTCATTTCGGCACAAATTTTTCACCCTTTAGGGTTTCCGCCCTCTTCTTCTCGGCGACGGCGGCTCTGATTCCCCTCCACTTTGCAGAGTCTATTTTCCCGATCTCCGCCATTTATACGCCTTTGAAACCTCTCCCGCCGTCTACCCCAGTTACGGTTCTTCACAAATTGGTGTCCCCCGGTCATCAATCATCACTTCACGGCGGTCACCGATTCAGTTATGTACTTATGTCTCACCCTCCTCCTTCTTCGTCTTCTTGTTCTCTTCTTTCTTCTATCGGTTGGAGTTTTATTTGTAAATTTCAAGAAAAGAAAGAAAGCTTAACTATGGCTCGGATTTGTAGTTAGTATAGTGAACCCGGTTTGAAGCTTTTAACTTTTAAGGGATAGAAATATCATTTACTGATTTAGTTTAGCCTTGCATGTTAATCTTTAGTTGATTTAGTTAGTCTTTAGTTGATTTGCTTTGTTGGGTTGATTACTGTTTACTGAAATCTTTGGTCTGTTTGTCTCTGGTTTTCTAGGAATGGAACCAATTGACGAAGAAGCTGAATTTGATATCAGTTTTGAGGTTAACGGCAGTGAGACCGATGCTGCTGATGATGTTGAGGTTTCAATCAATGGTGGAAGTGACACAACTGGCACACAAGAAGGTGATGAAGCAGCTCCTGCAAACAAAGGAGGGCGAAAGGAAAGAAGGTTAACATCTTCAGTTTGGAATCATTTTCGAATTCTGCCCCAGAAACCAAATGAAAAGCTTCACTGTGAATGTAAAAAATGTGGTAAGAAATACTTGGCTGGAAGTGAGAATGGCACAGGTAATTTAATTCGCCATATTAAAAGTTGTGTGAAGATGACTACCACTGATATTGGGCAGTTTCTGATTGTCTCTGATAAGGATGCTACCTGTTTAGGAACTAGGAATCCACATTTTTCTCAAGAAAAGTTTAGAGAACTAGTAGTTCATGCAATGATTAGACATGACATGCCCTTTTCTTTTGTAGAGTATGAAGGAATTTGGAATATTTTTAAGTATCTAGAGCCAAAAGCTGCTGAATTTACTCGAAACACTGCAAAATCTGATATTAGGAAGATGTATGCCAAAGAATGTGGTAGGCTTCGTGCTGAATTACTTGTTTGTCCTAGTAAAATAGCCTTGACATCGGATGCTTGGACTTCCATTGTTACTGATGGTTATTTGAGTTTAACTGCTCACTTTATTGATGCTAATTGGAAATTGCAAAAGAGAATACTGAATTTTTCTTGCATGCCACCTCCACATACGGGACAAGCATTGAGTGAAAAGATCTATTCTTTGGTTTGTAGTTGGGGTATTGAAAAAAAGTTGTTTTCAATTACTTTGGACAATGCATCGGCTAATGATGCTTGTGTTGATATTCTGAAAAAACAATTGTTGCTTAATAATGCTTTGGTGTATAAAGGTGAACTGTTTCATGTAAGATGCTCAGCCCATATACTTAATTTGGTAGTTCAAGATGGCTTGAAAGAAATTGATGAGTCTGTGATCAAAATAAGGGAATGTGTCAAATTTGTTAAGGGTTCAAGTGCTAGAAAGCAAAAGTTTGAGCTGTCTATTGCACAAACCTCTTTGGATTCTAAGAGAGGTTTAAAGCAAGACGTGCCTACTAGGTGGAATTCGACCTATAAGATGCTTTCAAGTGCTCTCTACTATCGTAGGGCTTTTGAGCATTTTCAGTGGGCTGATATGAATTTTATGTGTTGTCCTACTTCGGATGAAGGGGAAAGGGTTGAAAAGATATGTGGATTTCTTGAATCTTTTTATGATGCTACAAATACCTTCTCTGGAACTCTTTATTCCACAGCAAATATGTATCTTCCAAAGGTATTTCCAATTCAGCAAAAGTTGCAAGAGGCAATCTCAAGCAGTGATTCATACCTGGAAAGAATTGCTAAGAATATGGTTGATAAGTTTGACAAATATTGGTCTAATTTTAATCTCTTATTGTCACTTGCTGCGGTGTTTGATCCTCGGTACAAGTTTCGATTCGTAGAATTCTGTTACGGGAAGCTTTATGGCCCATCTTTGCAACAGTTGGCTGATTTTAAGGCTGCCCTCTTTGCTCTTTATGATGAGTACTTGCTAGCTTCACCATCTAATCAGGTCAGGTCATTTTCTTCTTCTTTTTTGGGGGATGGGTTTAATTTCAGTTTGGGTCAGGTGTCCTATTATATGTCTTACTAACCAGCTGTGACAATTGGATGTAGGCGTCATCATCCTGTTCTTCTGGTAGTAACAATGAGCATCGAAGAGAAACTGAAGGGAGTCATACTTCAACTTTAATGATGGTAAGTAAGTGTATTATATATTTATATGTTTTTCTATTCTAATGTCATAATCTGTTTTTTATTTTATTTCTGATTTATTCTGATAACTACTCACTGTTTACTGTTTACAGGAATTTGATGAATTTGAGAGTGCTGAGTTTGATTCAAGTGGCAAACAAACTCAGCTAGAGATGTATTTAGCTGACCCAAAGCATAACAGGACCGATAAAATCAATGTACTTGATTTTTGGAAATCCCAACAATATCGGTATCCTGATCTTGCTAGGCTTGCTAGGGACATACTTTGTGTTCCCGTATCAACCGTTGCATCCGAGTCCACTTTTAGCCTTGGAGGAAGAATTCTAGATCAATATCGTAGCTCAATGACTCCAGATATTGTCGAAGCATTGATTTGCTCTCGAGATTGGTTATTTGGACACAAAGGTGAAGTGTTTGCTGTTTGCATTTTGGTTTATTAATCAGTTAATCTCATTTGTAAATTTAAAATATTTATTGCATATGTTTTTCCCTCTAAATAGAATTGGATGAATTAAACTTGGAAGAGTTGACCAGAGACATAATGAACTTGAATATCAACAATGGTGGTGGTGTTCCATTGATTGAAGGGGGAAGTTCTAATACAACTTGATAATATATTTGGTAAGTTTGTGAATGTTCTGAATCTGGAGTTCTGTTGAAATCTGCTCTGAACGTTATGGTTTGAGTTCACAAGTTTATTTTTTTTGCTTGCAGGATGTGCTGCTGCCTCTACTACTGGCTGTTTCTTGGAGCTGAGCTTTCCCTCAAGACACAAGAGTTTCAACTGAGTACCAACTTCCAACTGAGTACCAACTTGGTCATGCCAAATTTCAAATGTCATCTTAATCTTCCTTTCTTGATAACTTTGAACTTTGAAGGTTGTAATTTGGATTTAATGTTGTAATTTGAATGCTGGTACTTTGTAATTTGTGTGATTTGGACTTGAATTTTTCAGATTTTTCAGACTAGAATTTTAGATTGCCAGATTTGTGTGATCACAGTGTGAAACTGTGAATCTGTGATATGAAAATGAAAGTTTCAAATTTTAGTTTTTTTTTGCAATTTTTTATTTTATTTTTTTAAATTTTGGGTTGCCGTGTCGGGTCACGGGTGACCTGAATATTTTCAGGTCAGGTTAGGGTTGCAAAACGTGACCTGTTTATTTATACAGGTCGAGTTAGAGTTGGCTATATATTATTCGGGTTCGGGTCCGACCCGACACGGCAACCCTAACCCGACACGGATTGCCAGCCCTACATCAATACATGTTTCTATGCCTATTCCAATTGCAACGATATATATATATATATATATATATATATATATATATATATATGAAAAATCCAGAATGGTACTTGGTGGGAGGTTCTCAATTTTATTAATATAAAAGTTAAAATTACAAGGGACAATGTTTAAGACTTATCCAAAAATATCTGTCTTACATTCTATAAAATCCCATGACCATTCCACTACAAACTAAGTCTAAGAACTGTATTACATAAGGTTTTGCTAAAAATTCATGACAATTCTATTTAATAAACAGATAATAATTATACTAAGAGATTATCTTAGAAAGATTTTCAATAAAATCCCATGATGATTCCGTTGGAAACTAAGTCTAAGAACTGTCTTACAGAAGATTTAGCTAAATATCCATGAAAATTCTATTTTATAAACAGATAATAATTATACTAAGAGATTGTCTTACAAAAATTTCACGTAATATCCCAGGACATCTCTAAAATTCTATCACTATAACTAACTACATGGCTCTAAGATGGGGATAGGATTCTAGGTCCAGTAATAACATACCTTGGATCCTTGTTGGAAGTTCTTGATTATCATATTGTATTGAAAAACCATTTGATGCTTGCTTAGATAATGCATCCACTATAACATCCACTTCTCGAAAAATGTGAGTTATCTTTCAGTCCAAAACTAGTAGCATTCTTTGAATCTTTGTAAAGTTAGCATAATGTTTCCAGAAAAATTCGTCCTTCTTGTCAAGATTTTAACAATTGCTTCATTATCTATTTTGACGAATACTTTGACAAACCCTTTTGTTTTCGCAGAATTTCAATCCATGATAAATCCCTTCCACTTCAGCTGCCATACTTGTTGCTACTCCTTTATTCTTGCATTCAGCTTTAATGAAGATGCCCTTTTCTCTTTGTAAGATAAAACTCCGTCCAGCTTCTCTAGGTTGCCCCAATGCTGATTCGCCAGTGTTCAAAATGTGTTCTCCTTGATCCGGTGGTTTTCCAGCGTAGTGCTAAAATTTTCTTCCTTGTTGGAGCTAATACTCTCACTTGAAAAAATTCCTCCGACTCCTTTAGCTCATCAATGGTCATAGCTTAACTCATGAACTTTAAGGAATCTGTATATGTTAAATTTAATTTCTCTGATTGAAAATTCAAAGGAGAAACTCTTATCGTCATGTACTATCTTGATCCGCATTTTTCAAATTTCCCATAGTATAAAAGACGGAATCTTTCTTATCACTGTCTTCTTTGCAGTGGTAAAGCTTCCAAGAGATTGCCAGGCTTGAAAAATGTTTCATAGTCCTGGATTTTCAATTAGTGCAATTTTCAAAGCTAACGAAAAATAAATCCATACCTGGCTGATCCTTGGACACTCATAAAAACATGTTGAATATTTGTTTCCCTTTTGTAAACAAAATGGACAGCTAGATGGATTTTAGATGAAACCTAATCTTTGCAACACTTCAAGAAAGGGGATCAACTTGTTAAATAATTTCCACAAGATTTTTTTTTAAGGAATAAGTTTATTCCAAAAAAAATTTAGAATCGAAAATTCTCCCCTTGTCTTTATAATTTCTGAGTATGTTGTGGATACTGTGAACTTCCCTATTGATGTTGGCATCCAAATTATTTTATCCGCATCGATGTGAAGTTCCTCTCCATGTTCACCAAAATGTCAGCTTTCAGCTCCGGAATTGTGCTTCTCAGTTCCTGCAAAAAGAAAGATTTTTGTGCAAAAAATTCTTAACTTGCAAACCTAAATGTGGAGGTTCATTCTCCTCGGCTGTGGACCAAATCGGCTCCGTATCCTACCATTCTTTATTCCAAAATGATGCTGCTACTTCTTCGATAATCATTTTTGTTTTTGATCTTGCAAAACGTTCTAGCTTGCAAACCCGTATCCAGCTTGTTCGCCTTCTTGATGATTCTGATAATGATAGAATGAAAGTTCCCCAAGCACCTTGCGGACATTGTAATTTTTACCATAGCTTCAATGTAAATGCATAAATATCATCCTTTAAATTTCGCAGCCCCAATCCATTCTCCGCAACAGGAAACGTAAGTTTATCCCATGCCTTCCAGTATCTCTTTTCTTCTCCACACAAGAAGCTTTTTGCATTTCTTTTCAAGAGCACTTACAATCGATTTTGGTGGTTCAATTGTTGTAAAGGTGTGCAAAGGATTGATGAGAGTACATTTTTAATCAGTAACGGCCTTCCACCCATTGATAGGAGTTTATTTTTCCAGCTTTGCAATCTTCAATCTGCTGGCGATTTATCCGGGAGAAAAAACCAGACATGCATCCAAATAAGTAAGATAAGACCCATCTGGACTCAAAAACTCAAGTTAATGGGTTCTGAATTTCTCTTACTTATTAACTGATTCACATGTCCTCATGCCTCCGATGTGGGATTCACAATCCTTGCCACATGATTCTCAATATTCTCCCCTGTTATGGGCAGTATCCACATCAGGCTTTCAAATTATCTTAACAAGCCCAAATATGTACTCCATCTGAATAACTTGGCCGCACATCCCTACGTTTCTGTTCGTAGCGGGCTTTTAACTGCCTGGATTCAGTCAGATCAATTGAGATAATTTGGGCTAAATCACCAACCCAATTGGCCCAACCTGAGCTCTGATATCACTGTTTGGGATTTATCCGGGAGAGAAAACCCGACATGCAGCTTAATAAGTAAAATAAGACCCATCTGGATTCAAAAGCTCAAACTAATGGTCCTGAGTTTCTCTTATTAACTTGTTCACATGTCCTTATGCCTCCGATGTAAGATTCACAATTCTTGCCACATGACCCTCAATACAATCAAAAGCATCCAAACGGTGATAAAAAAAAATTCCGCCTTTTTCCTCCCATTAAAAAGCTTAGATCCAAGATAAACAAAAGAGAACTCTCCTTGCAGTATTTGAAGGGTCTGATTGAACAAATTTATGTGTTCCATAGAGCATTTTTCGGACGTGAGATAGAAGCTTTTCTGTTTATTTATTCTTTATTCCGTGGCCTCTTTATAGTATTTGAAAAAATTGTTGAGCTGTTTTATTGATCTCTTTAGACCGTTTGTGAATATGATGAAGTCATCCGCAAATCATAAATGAGAAATTATTTTTGATCCCGCCGAAACCCCATATATACCTTGATATTCTTACATTTTCAGTTAATTCCAACAAATTCCTTGTCAATACTTCCGAAATAAGAGGAACAAATAATGCGAGGGCGGGTCACCTTGTTTAATACTCCGAGTAACTTGAAAGATTCTTTGTCAATCCTTCTGAAATAAGAGGAACAAATAATGCAAGAGCGGGTCACCTTATTTAATATCCCGAATAACTTAAAAAAAATGCACAGAACTCCCATTTACTATAACTGAAAATCAACTATCTTTTAGATTAGACATAACCAATAAGACAAACCTTGTACGAAATCCCATCTTCAGCATCATCCTTTGTAAAAAATCCCATTACACTCCATCAAATGTCTTGATCATGTCAATTTTAAAATTAAATTGTCGGTCTGAGTTGGGTGATCTAAAAATTGACATAAATCTTGTGTCATCAAAATGTTGTCCACAATGTCTCTTCCTTCTAAGAATGCCGATTGTTCTTCCGATATCAATTTAGACAGCACCTTGTTTAGCCTTTCTGTTAAAACTTTTGTGAAAATCTTATTCACAAAGTCACAAAGACAAATCAGGCAAAAATTGGTAAATGAAGTCGCTGAACTTTTCTTCAGAATCAAGGTTACTATAGTACTACGAGTATATTCCAACAGTGCTGATAAAAATCACCTCCATACCTTTCAATTCCCGTTGCACTTGAAAATTCCAACCCAAAACCTGCCTCTTTCACTTCCTCCATTGATAAAGGACTGAGTAAACTTTCATTTTCTTCTTTCGTTAAAAGAGACAGTATATGATTTAAGATATATGTGAAAAAGAAAGATTCAAATTTCAAGTACACGTATCTATTACCCCTAAGACTTAAAATTATTTATACATAATTATGAAACATAGATTTTGCCCATTCCTATACTTTAGGACAAAAAACAAGAGTAATCTAGCCAAATAGTCTCTTACATTTGTCAAAAAATTTAATTTGGTCCATAGCATAAAAAATAAACTGATTTGGTCCATTACATGTGGTCCTCTTTACTTTTTTTGATACTTTACATTTTGGAATTCTCGGGTTAATCAATTTTGGATTAAGGCAACAAGGGTATTTTCGGTACTTTGGAATCTTCAATATTTGAAATAATAAGAAAATCAAAATTTAATAAAATTTAATAAAATTCAACAAAACAAAAAAAAAATGGTAGTATTAAAAATAGTATACTAAAAAAATACAAAATAATTTTTTGAGTTTGATGTCCTAAATTTTTTTACCCGTGGGCCCCACCTAACCCTACTTCTTTCAAATTTATCCACCCATTAACCCCATTTTCCAACCCTCCATTTTCAACCTGCAACCCATTATAAACAAACTTGAGCCGGGTTCGAAAATGGTCTTAATGC